ATATTAAAGAAATCATGCCACCTTCATGATTTTATCTGTCCCTTTGGTTTCCCTTCAGGGTACCATGGTCATCCAGAACATGGAGTCAGTGCTGAGGGAGGAGGGTCAGTGGAAGTTCCCTCARGAGTTCAATCCTGAGAACTTCCTGAACGAGCAGGGAGAGTTTGTCAAACCAGAGGCCTTCATGCCTTTCTCTGCAGGTAAACTCARATCAAACAAAGAGACTGAAACCAAACAGCTAGAAATGACCTTTTCTGGTGTCTCAGGTCCTCGGATGTGTCTGGGAGAGGGTCTGGCTCGTATGGAGCTGTTCCTCATGACGGTGACCCTGCTGAGGAAGTTTAAGTTCATCTGGCCCGAGGATGCTGGAGAACCATGAAGGTCCAGCTGGGGTCTGAACAGTGAGGAGGTGCAGACGCTCTGCAGAAACTGATGAAAGAAATGCAAGGGTCTCCTTTTAAACCTTCTTAAATATTAAAATATTTGTTTTCATCATAAATATCCTGTTAGAAAATAACTCATGGAGAGAATTTATGAAGAGCTTCAGTTCAACATTGAAACCCTAGAAAGGAGCGTTGGTGTTTAATCTGTACGACATTAATTAAAGCCTGGATTCTGCTGCTGGTGTTCTCATCTTTAACTTCACATTGTTTAAACCACATTTTAAAGATCAAACATGTCGTTTGTTCCAACAAGCAGCTGATGAAGAGGAGGAAACAGACTCACACATCAGGCTGAAGATGAAGTTTGTTGGTTTTTCTCTGCTCTCCTCTTGGATCTGTGCTCTCAGGGTTTCCAGCTGCCTCCTGACGGTCCGTCTTAAAGTTTTATTTTTAATCTGGGTCAGCCGTCTGTCGCTCTGCTGCAGAGCTTTTCTTAGCTGCTCAGAAACGTGTCACTTTTCCCCCGACACTGATGGAGAGATGTCAGGGAGGATCCACCGGCAGCTGCAGAAAGTCCTGCTGCAGAGGGAAATAAACAGCTGAGGGCGTGGTCAGGGTGTGGTCAGGGCGTGGTCAGTGAGTGGTCAGGGCGTGGTCAGGGTGTGGTCAGGGCGTGGTCAGGGTGGGGTTAGGGCGTGATCAGGGCGTGGTCAGTGCATGGTCAGGGTGTGGTCAGTGTGTGGTCAGGGCATGGTCAGGGTGTGGTCAGGGCATGGTCAGGGTGTGGTCAGGGCATGGTCAGGGTGTGGTCAGGGCATGGTCAGGGTGTGGTCAGTGTGTGGTCAGGGCATGTTCAGGGCGTGGTCAGGGTGTGGTAAGGGCGTGGTCAGGGTGTGGTCAGGGCCGGCCAACATGGCGCCCTGCAGGCAGGATTTCAGGTGGTGCTCCTTGTGCACGTTTCTACAATCTGACAAACCAAATTAAATCATTTTGTCTTTGATATTTTCTTTTCTTTAGAAACCAGGTTGTCTGGTTAAAATAAGTCATATAATTCATTTGAAACAGAGTTTACCTCACCTGCTGACATCATGAGGAACACCTGCTCCTGTTCCCCAGCAGCTGTAAGATTGTTAGTTTCTGTTTGGTCAGATTTTCAGTTTTCTCTATTTTCTGTGATGTTTTCTGAACTATTATATCAAATAATCTGCCACAGAATCACCAGAGAAGGTCTGGACCTATCAGCTACAATTTCCTCATCTTAATTCTCCTCTGGTTCTGGGTCAGACTCTGGTTCTGGGTCAGACTCTGGTTCTGGGTCAGACTCTGGTCCTGGTCAGACTCTGGTTCTAGTCAGACTCTGGTTCTGGGTCAGACTCTGGTTCTGGGTCAGACTCTGGTTCTGGGTCAGACTCTGGCTCCAACATATAACGCTGGATGCACAGGTCTTCTGTTGTTGACATCTTTCAATTAAATCGTAAATAAAATGTCTCGGCAAGCTAAAAAAAAACCTCTCTCCAACCGGAGTGGACCGATCTGGAAGCCGGATGGGGGTGGGGCTTGTAGTGTCTTAAAGGGGCAATATCATGTAAAATCAACTTTTTTGAGTTTTATATCATGTTTTAATGTTATACTCTCATAAAAACATGTCCAAAGCCTTGCTCTGACTCATTCATCATGTTTGAGAAA